GACGGCGCGTAACGCTACCCTACGCACATCTCTAAAAGGCCCACTACACGCCCCCTTTCGGCTTTGAGCAAGTGGTACCACTTTGTCGCCGCAGCCTCCTGAGCACCCCCACGCCAGTTGTGGCTGCTCTCCGCCCACCAGCCGGCCACAGGCCGCCAACCTCGCCGGCCGGCGTCGAGAGAACGGCCAGACTCGACCGACCGGGTGTCGTGCCGCTGCCTGCTTCTCGCGCCGCTGTAGCAGCGCCAGCGGCTTGGCCGCGCATCCTTCACACACGCCGCCACGGCCTAGCTGAGCGGGCCCGGTGTCGAGTCATGGTGCGAGCTGCATGTGAGGGGCGGCTTTGGCCACAGCCAGGTCCACCAGACGGACCTCAAAGCTTGCCGGCGGCGTGCTGTCGTGGCGAGAGCCGAGACCGCTGCAGAGGAGCCGAGTGCAGTGGCGAGCCAGCGGCTACCAGGGCCACCAAGTGGTAGCCCTTGCCCATTCTGATCAGGGCTGTGCTTTGGTGGGGTTGTGTTTGAGCGTGTGTGAAGTGGGAATGCGTGCCGGCGGTGTCTGTGGGTGAAATAGGCGTGTGTGAGGCCGTAAATCGCGATTTTTTTCGAGGTCAGACCCATTCATGCCGTGGACGGTCCGTCCGACGTCGGGTAACCGTCGCCGCATCGCCCTCGCGACTCAAGGTGCGCGCTGCGTGACCGCCGTGAGCTGCCCTCCCGACCCATGTAAAAAAATCCGGCGTTTCCCCTCCCAGTGAGCCGGGAGAGCGCTCCCGGCACCTCCCGGCACCCGTTTCCCCGCCACGAAAGCTCTGCCGAGAGCGCCGTTCCCATGGGCGGCGTTCCCGAACCATTCGTAGGCGCCGCGCGGCATTGCCAATGCTCCATCGACGCGGTGCAGGCGGCCCCAAGCCAAAGGGGTGGACACGTGCCGCCAAGAACGCCTTCCTAATCCACTTTGGTGTGCGCACGGGCGGTGCTCCAGTGGACGCCACTGCCGACGGCGCCGCCGCCGACCCGCCCGCCGCCGACCCTCCCACCGAGGAGGTCGACGGAGCTGCAGACCCAGCGATGCAGTCCGAGGCCGCCGCTCCGGCGGCAGAGGCTGACGTCCCGATGGCGCAAGCGCTGAGCGATGCCGAGCTTTCATCAGATCACGAGCACGAGGAGCAGCCGCTGCTCCATGAGCAGCGGCTTGCGACAGTCAACCAGGAGCAGGCACGGCTTGAGGCGCTGCGTTGGACCGAGGAAGAGGTGGCTTTGTGGGTGAGTTGGGGGGGTGTGAAGGAGGACTTGATCTAGGCTGGAGATTGCACGTGGAGCACTTGGAGGCGCTAGAAGGAGTTCGAGGAGGAGCGTGCGGGCTACATGGAGGAGACCTCGTGCGA